GGCTGCAAACAGTGTGACCTGCAAAAATAATTTTGCCTTTATTAATTTAAGCTGGTGTTTTGTTGTCCCCCCTGCCCCCATCTTGACAATGTTACTAGCATTCTGGCATGCAACCTTCTTCTCGTTCTTTTAGAATAATTTCCTGGCATCTGTCCCTATTCTAGCTTTAAACATTGAAAAGAAATTGTCCATATGTCTTGGAAGTTGCTTAAAAAAAAATCCCAGTACATTTCAGTAGAAAAAACTTCCCAGTGTTGGTCCTTACATTGCCCTTCTTTTAAATTAATTTTAAATGAATAGTAGTAGTAGTAGATAAGTGCTATTCATTTTGGATGGTTCAGGAATTGAAACGTAACAGCGTTCAGTCACTCTTGCTTCCATCCTTTTGATTATTGAAGCAATAAATAACAACTCTAATGTCTTTTGGCACCTGATTTCTGATATTTTTCAGTAGGGAGGAGAGAGCATTTATGACTGCACAGTGCTTATAAATCAAATGGTATTGTTAGAGGAATTGAACCAAAGCAGTTTAGAGGAGCATTGTGACTCAGTGTGGTCTGATGTGGCATGGAACCATAGTGCCTTGCTGATTTGCTAAATGACGCATCTGCTGTCCAGTTTATTCTGTATTTTGGGGAACACTTTTATATGGTCTGCGCTCCTATTGTGTTAGATGTTTACAGTTGGATTTAGTTATCCATGGTGTTTTTACACTTCTCCTTAAACTGCTTTAGTTCACATGCACTTCAAAGTTCTATGACTTCTGATACTGGTGCAAAAGCTAACAGGAGGCAGCATGTGATAGCAGTTCCTGGCTGCCTTCATGGAATTGCCTGCTTGAGCTGTGGAGTAAGCACTTCAAATCCTGTACTTAAAAGGACACAGAGGTGCAAAGGGAGGCAATATCATAGAATTGCCCAGATCAGAAGAGACCTCAAAAGATCATCTGGCCCAACCTTTTGTGGGAAAGGGAGCCTAGTTGAGATTGCCTAGCACTCTGTCCAATTGCATCTTGAAAATCTCTAGCAACTGGGGACTCTGGGATCTTAATTTGGAAAATAAATATGGAGACTGTTCTACTCTGATAGAGGTATGTGGCCTCATACTGAATCAATGCTCACATGGCTTTCTTTAAACCAACTGTTAAATATGCCAGAACAACAAATGGGAGAAAAAAGTAGTATTTCCTTGGGAATTAAATATCTAAAACAATGCTGAGGAAAAAAAAAAGTCTGGATTAAGGGCCAAATAGAGTACTGACAGGAGGTCCTACTCTGGCCTGCATAAATAGATTTGTTGCCATAGAGATATGATTGATGTTTGTGCCTGCTTCAGAGCTACCTTATAACTATCTCTTGCAGGTATATGGTCAAATTTGTGTTTTAGTGCACTCATAATGATGTGGCTGAGGTGGGAGTGGGTAGACTAGAGAGGCAGAAAAGCTTTGATTTAGGGGCAAAACACAAGTATTTGTTTGCTAATGACTTCTGAGGCTGCCTAGTTACATGGTAATGTCTTACATAGTGTGAACGTACTGCTTTTTCACTGAACTATGTTTGGTTTTGTCCCCGAGAGGAAGTTCATGAACTAGATTGGCCTGCAGTCTTAGTACTGCATAACCCATACGTTGTATTTCACTATGGAGTTATTAGGGAATTTATTAAAGATGGTGATGAAGTAATGATTCTGCTGATATGTTTCATGGACAGACTTTATTAATGCCAGTTTCTGAGGGAATCTTGAATTTCTTTTGTACTTTCTTCCTTCCATTTTTGCATACTTCTGGCTTCAGAGTGTTGAAATCCTATCGGTATGTATAGTAAAGGATCATGACTGTGATTGTTACCACTTCAGGCATCACACATTCCTTATTTCCTTTCTGATCTTACTTGTAATCACTGTATTTCCTGCCCTTTTATCCAGTCAAGTTTTAATGGATGTAAACACTGGTGCATTATTAGGTGTTTGTAAAGTTTAGAGTCACGTGCTTGATCTTCATGTTGCAATCATAACTTAAAATCCATTTGCATGTCAAATACAGACCCGTCTCCCAGTTTTCTCCTGTTGCCTGAAATTTCCCTGTAAGTAATATTAAAAATTAAAACAACTTCTTCCCTTTTTTTTTAAGTGAGGAAGGAAAATTGTCTACCTCACAGGATGCTTCTTGTAAATACATCGTAGAAGAGAATGCAGAGGTTGGAGAAGAGGCTCCTTCAGCTCTGCAGCCTACTAACAGCAGTCCAGAACAGAGGTAACTGATTTCAAGGATGCTTTCAGTCCTGTAAATAGCAGTTTGCATGTTTTTCTAATAGGATTGATCTGAAGAGATTAATGAATTCCTTTAGTTATCACCCCTGAGTTCAGCTCAATCTAAACATGTGCTTGCATCTATTTTATAAAATTCTCACAAGTTGTATTTTCTGTTGACTCTAAGACTCTTGAGTTGTCAAAAATGTATTTGCCTTGTACTCTTTGTCTTGCCAGGTTGTTGTAAATATCCCCATTCTGGTTTGTGATATGTTATCAAGTTAGAATAGTGAATTGATTCACTTATGAAAATGATGATTTAAAAAAAAAGATCAGTGGAATAAGTATAATTTTGTCCTGAAAACTTATGTAAGTTAGGTCTACCATTTTTTTCATTCTTTATTCTATACTGCAGAACAGTTTGGGGGGAGTCCAGTAGTGCAGCTGTATGGAAAGGAAATGGTGCCTTAAGTCATGCTTGTTTGATTGTGAATCAGTTATTATTTGCACCCTTGTCTTCAGCAGGTATTAATCTGAATACTTGTAGATTTGGAGAAGATTTTTTCAAAGTACATAATTTGTTTCAAATAAAACTTGCCTGAAATATGGAGCAGCCTGGATTGCTCAGCATACTTATTGGAGGAAACAAAAGACAACATTTTTCTTTGGCAGCTTGGCTACTAGTGCAGTCTTGCAGATTAGTAATTCAAGATACAATTCTGAGGGGACCACCACCAAACAGAGAAAGCTGCTCTTGCATAAATTTCTTTCTCTTAAATTATCAGGTAGTACTGCTTTCTCCAAAAAAAAGAGGCATTTGACAGTATTTCTCCTGTTTCATTTCCTGTTGAAGTACTTGTTTGGGGGTTTTTTGCATCCCAAGTTACAATGGTATGGAAACATACACAATCAACTCTAAATCTAGTATGGCTTCACCAAAATCAAATGCATGTAGGGTGACATTAATTACCAAATGTTAGAAATGCTTAATGCAGATGTTTCATATCTGAGCTAGTTTCTAGACTTTATTCAGAGCAGGATTCATTTTTGTCTTGAAAACCTAAAACAATGAAGAGCTTAAAGTAGGTGAGAAGGTTTCCACCCTTGAAGGCAGTATTCAGTGAAGACCTTGCTCTGGAACTTAGGTATTCATAAGTACTTTAATATCTAGGCAAGTGTTTACTGGTTTCCCAGCAGAATTAATGACTTATTGAACATCAGGTACAATCCCACGAGCTTGATTCTTGGTGTTAAGGCAAAGGGTGGTATGCTGCCATTTCCTGTTTTAGATGTAATTCAAGGGTGCCCAGAGGAACTGTGCTGTCCCGAAGAAAACCCTTGTAAAAGGAAGACCTAAATGTGTATTTACGAAGCCCCCAGTAATCTGTAGGGTCTGCTCCTCTTCCTGCAGGGCAGTGCTTGGGGCGGTCAGAGCTATGCATGCTGCCTTCTTGCGGGGGAACTGAGGATGGTCTGAAGGGAGAGAGGATTTTGCTTAACTAAAAGCAACTCCAGGAGTCGCTTTTGCCTTGCAGTATAAACAGGGGTATGATTCTGAAAATCAGAATTCACAATATATATACACACACACAGATATTTTCTGATATATATTTATATATATTTAAGTAGTTGTTTTAATAGTTTAAAAGTTGTTGCGTTTCTTGACTTCAATAGATTTTAAACTATTATTAGAGAAACATGGTATTTCTCACACAAATCATGTGAAAGTAGTAATTATTTTTAAGACTTTGTGGATACTATATTAGATATCTAGCTTTCTAGTGAAGACAAAATTGAAATGCTTTTGTAAACAAAGATTTAGAGTATAACTCTACATAAAACAGAGAACTCCACTGCATGTTCTGATTATACTGTATGCAGACTAAGAAAGATGCAAGCATGTTTGACACATTTAGATTCTGGTTTTTAGACTTGTTTATGAGCTAGTATGTCTTACCTCTATGGTATTGGATGTTGCACTAAAACACGGCTACCTTTTTCTGTAAGTCAGAACTTTCTACTCTGCATAAATTCCATAATCAAGTGGATTCTAATCAGAAAACAAACTAACCCTGTATATTTAGTTAAAGTGGGAAACCTAGACCTAAACTGTCTTTCGCAGCCTCCTCTATACCTGGAGGTACCATTTTTATCAAGACAATATTTTTAATGCCTATAAGCATTAAGTTGTAGGGAGGAAGTCTTTGGGTACTAGGTGATTGCCTTTTGAGTAAAGATGTTCTCAGAGCTAGCAGTTCGTTGGATTGCTTTTGACTTGCAGGAAATCACAAGGAACTCCTTTCATTGAATCCAGCTGGCTTCAGCGAAGCTCAGTACTTTCTCTCAGAGCTAGCAGTTCGTTGGATTGCTTTTGTGTTGCAGGAAATCTCGAGGAACTCCTTTCATTGAATCCAGCTGGCTTCATCAAAGCTCACTACTTTCTCTAAAGGTGGCTGTCACAGCAGATCCTCATATAAGCGCAGTATAAACATCAAGATAAACATAATTGTGCTTTTGGGGCTCCATGCATGTATGACTAGTGGGAGGAGTCCCCTAGGTAGGTCTTTGGCTGGTGGCCAGCAGTAGTAATCTCTGCTAGGAGCCCTGTCCAGTTAATAAGTGACTTACTGCTGTGCGTACTGTCAGACTTCCTGTCCATGCAGCACTTGTTTCTTACCTTCCAGGCTTCTCTAAAAAGTGTTTACTTCTGTCTAGTGCTGTCTGTCTTTTGTCTAATGTGTACATATTTTTCTTAAAAAGTGTTTTTAGAGCTTAGCAGCCAAAGACTTAGCTAGGGGACTCCTGCTGGTCATGTGCATGTAGAGCACGGACCCAAGAGTGGCTTCTCTGTGATGTACACCATCAGAGAACAGGAGTTACAGGTAACTTTTCTCATGTGTAGTTCCAAATGGTATTTATATTCTTTAAGGGAATCTTCAGATGTATTCAGTAGACTTGCACTGAATGGAAGTTGAGATTTTTTTTTTGCCGTTGTCACTTGCGGTTCTTAATGTTCTCATGCACTACTGATTGGATCTCTTTGTGTTAGTCCAGACCAATTGAGCCCACATTTACACTAACCTTCTTATCTAGAAATGTATATACTGTTATTGCTTTCACTTTTGCAGGTTTGCTCCTTATTTTCCTCCATACTTCCTGAACTTTTCATGTTAATGGACTGACATTCAAAGTATTTGTGAAATGGCAGTTTGTAGATTATACTAGTAACTAAAGCATTTTTTTAAGATGGTGTTGTTTTTCCTGTTGTGTCTTAGCTGCTTACTTTCAAATGCAATCTTAAATACTCCTGGTATCACATTTTGCCTCACAGAATAAGATTTGGAGAAGTATCAGAAATGTGCTTTTTATTAGTAATTCTCTTGGGGAGATACTAAGTGATCTCTACAGATGCAGTAGCTCAGTTAATAAAGATGAAACACTCTTCAGTGGCATGCTCAGTTAATTAAAGTGCTATACTTAATTAGGCAATAAGGACTCCAGAAATGCTGAACTCCAGAAAATAAATGGGATGAGCATGTTATTAGCTTGTGTTTCCTCTCTTCAACTCAGGGGTCATGCTACACATGATCTGGGGTCGTTGGTTTTCGAGGGTTTTTTTGCACCTACCTGAATTTGATTTGGACCCTTCTTGTTTCTTGTGTACTTACATCTTTTTTTGGCCTCTTAGGACTGGTCAACCCAGCTATTTAGGAGAGACATCTGTTAATGGCCCTGTATGATATGTGATGTCTACTACCTTGGCTGAAGAAAGTGAACTGATATCCAGGTGTTTGAGTGTTTCTTGAGGATTTCATCTATACCCTGTTGAAGCCAGTCACTGCTGCACTAATTTCGCAAGGGATCAGGACCAGCAACATTTATATTCTAGATTTTAAGACATTGTACAGAAATACATAAGTGTAAAAATATTGCACATTGAGAAATACCAATAATTTTTGCGTATGTTTATATTGTATTGTTCTAAATAATGGGTGGCCTGTGAAATAAGATCCTGCTACCTATGTAATGATGACAGTAGTGTTACTATAGTTAAAATGGCTGTAAGAATAGTTTTATAAAAAAATGAATACACAAATCTAATGTATTTGAGACATAACTATTTGACGATTAGTGTGACCAAAGTATTTAGCAGTTTTCATACATTTTTTCACCTTGTAAAAAGAAAAGAAAAAAATTAATTCATGTTTCTTCTGAAACTGAAATGCCCTATAAATGTTATTTTGGTTGTTTTAGCTTACAAAAGTGATTTAAGTAAGAATTTTCTGGTGTTCAACATTTTACAACAGTTTTTTTAATTGGTAATTGTTTTCTGTATTGTTTAAAACAGATCAAAAATGTAAGTCTATTGGTAGAGATTTTAAGTATTTATTGCTACAACTTAGTTGACAAATTGATGTTACTGTAAAGCCATATGTTTCTGTTAAGTCTTGTTTGCTTGAAACAGTACCTTACAGGTGAAACACTAGAATATTTGAAGTGCACATGGTTTGTTGCGTTTAAGTGATTCACCTGCCTTTTAACCCATTCACCAAGATTTAGTTTAATACCAAGCATTATACAATGGAACACTTCAGAACAATCTGTGTATTTAAAACGCTATAATCCTTTTAGACAAGTCAAGTAAATGAAATGCCCGTGCTGCTAATGTAATTACAGTACATGCATTTTAAAAGTATATAGTGTTTTTAATACAAATTTTGGCAGCAGAGCATGTTAATTGTTACTTCCACTATACTGATCTGTGTGAGGCTTTCATTTGTATGTTCTAAACCAGTTTTTTCACAGCTGGTTTGTGTATATATATATAGTGATTATGGAAACTAATTCTGTGTAATTTATAATTTTCTATGTCACTGTAAAATTCCAACAGCCTTCTCAAACAAACAGAAGCAATATACTGTATATTGCCACACTGTCTGGTGAAAGGGTTAAAGTACTTCACCTCCTGCACTTTCAGATGCAAATCCATTTTTGTTTCTGTAATAGTTATATTCATTTATTTTTTACATCATTTGTTTTCCTGACAAGTATTTAAAGCCAAAAGTATACTCTAAACAACAGCCAATGATTTATTTTAGAAGGCATCCCAAGCAATGTGCCTAAACATTACATTGCATACAGAAATAAAAAAAAAAACCAAACCCACATGTATATAATGGCATTGCCCTTATTGCTTCCTCTCTTGCATTTTCTGCAGCAAATTTCAATGGCACTCGTCATTGTAAATTGTTACAAACTGAACAGATGTGTGAAAATGGAGGGGGGAAAAAAACACAGTATCATAGGTGGAATGGTAACTATGGTTGCCCTTTTATTGTACTTTATAAATGATGGAATCAAGTCAGTTTCTAAGTTGTTTCTTACTCAGTTCAGAATTACTTCCAGATCAGCTTGACCAAAAAATGTTTTGTATATCAGCTTTAAGGTTAGCAGCTGTCCTTTTATCACTTTCTGCTCTGTATGAACAAATAGTTTTGGAAACAAAACCACTCATTTCAACACACGAATTACAATCCAAGTAGAAATTCCAAATACAGGAGAGCAGTGTGTTGGCTTACATAAGTCTGACACTTATAAAGAATAAAACTTTTGTCCTTTTCAGTAGAGCTATTCATTCCTTGCTAACAAGTTGAATTAACTAGCTATGAATTAACTAGCCATAAAATGTGAAGGAGATATTGGCAGCAAATTAGTTCAAACTGTATTTCAGCCCTGCTGCCTGCAGTTCAGCAAAGTCTTCTAGTATGTTGTCCTTCCTTCTGATATGAACTGTCACATCAGTCCACTGTCCAGTTCATACTAGCTCAAAATTGAAAAGGGGGAGTATTTTGTCCCCCTTCCCTCCGTTCCTCCTAGGTAATATCAGTTGAGTGGAGGTGTGAGAAGTGGTGGTGAGCAGAATTCACCCTTCAGTGTAGTTTGCCTTCTAATTAAAGGGTGCAATAGAGGTAAACTAGGTTGGCTTACCTAATGCTGATGCTAGTGGTCTTGAGGCTTCTTCCTTACTATTGCATTGTTTTAACAGCTTGTGTGGGAGGTGAGTTAAGCCTGGGATTTAACCTAGATTTGATGTAGTGTGAGTTGTTCTCAGGAGGTGTAGGGTGTGTTTTACCCACTAACTGTATTACTTGTACAAGGAATCCTGAATTTGAAGGAGAAGGTTTGGAGGTGTGTTTTGGGGAGAGGGGTGTATGGGTGTGTGTACACACACACACCTTTTGCCAACTTTTACAAACACTTTATGCTGCTCACATAGGCTTACAAAGGTTTGAACATACTTGGAGAATTCTGCTGAATGGCTGTGTTGCCCAACCTGTTTAATCAAATTTGGCATGCAGTGGAATTTATGAGTCCTCTTTATTAAAAGATATTTTAATGCATTTGTGAGATGGACTAAAGTCTAATACCTTTGTACAGGTTTGACTTCCTACAGTGTATTTAGCAGCAGTTAGAATGAAAAACGCTTGGTTTGAGTGGCTCATACTGAATATATATTTCACAGTGCTCTTTGTAATGGCTAGAGGCTCATTCACTTGAAACCGTGAGGAATACTGATGTCAGTTGATATCAAAGGGCAGTGGATTTAACCCTCGGGACTTCTCTGGTAAAGGATTTTTACTTAAGCAAGAGTGTGTTGCAAAAGTGGCTAGACCAGCAATATATGCATAGCTCGTTTCCTCTTCAGACCTGTGTCTCTGTTACCTGGCAGAGTGGATGAATCCTGTCTTCTTGACCAGTTAAACCATTATTTTTAAGTGTGAGCCTTGTACTAGATTTTATAGCAAGATTATTCCATTTAAGTACAAGTGTAAGCCATTGTCTTGACTAACATTATTATTAATTAAGGAGGCATTCCCCATGTTCAGTGAGGTGACAGGTGGTCACTGAGAAGACAACAGGATAGTTGAAACAATCTCGTTATATCATTGTAAATGCAACCCAGTGTGACCATGCTCTTGAGTGAAACCTACTTTCTTGCTCCTGTTAAGGCATGTGTCTGCCTCTTAAAAACAGTGAGTTCTGTATTGTCATCTGCATACTCCTGTGGAAACTTACTGTGACATTCATTCTTTGTGTGAAATCCACTGAGGAGCTATGAAAGACTTATGAGGAAGATGAATCAGGTTGTTACTATCATTCATTATAAACTTATCTTCCTGTTTAAATTAGCTTTAATTTCCTTGGAGATCATTTTGTTTTCTGACATACATCTTTTACAGTTATGTCCAGAAGTATTTATTATATGTAACTGATAGCTTTATTAATATAAACAATCACTTCTGACTGTCTCAGAATAAATAGTGCTTTCTCCAGTATAGTATAAGTGCTTCAAGTTTCATTATAAAAGTGTCTGTATTGTTTCCCAAACGAGGAAGGAAAATGGAAGTTAATGCAGCAGCAGCAAGCCTTTTTTGTTAAGTTTTTTAACTTCCGTCTTTTAGTTTCTGCATCTTAGTTCCTAGCAGGTAAGGATTTGTCATCCATTTGTTCCATTATTGTTTGAAAATGTAAGGTTACAGCATGGAGGAAGACAAAGGCAATAAAATTAAAATAGAAAAATTGTATCTTAGCATGAAAAGAGAGGCCTCTTCCTGCCTGCTTTAGCTGGGACAGTTCATGAAATCTTTTGCACTTGCCCAGATCTGGCTTGGCTTTCTGGTTCAGATTGTTCCAAGCTGTCGTGGTTTAGCCCCAGCCAGCAACCAAGCACCATGCAGCCGCTCGCTCACCCTACCCCGATGGGATGGGGGAGAGAATCGGAGGAGTAAGAGTGAGAAACACTCCTGGGTTGAGATAAGAACAGTTTAATAATTGAAATAAAGTAAAATAGTAATGCTACTAGTAACAGTATAATAATAATAATAATAATAATGATACACAAAGCAAGTGATGCACAAGGCAATTGCTCACCACCCGCCGACCGATACCCAGACAGTTCCTGAGCAGCGATCGCTGCTCCCTGGCCACCCCCCACACCAGTTTATATACTGAGCATGACGTCATATGGTATGGAATAGCCCTTTGGTCAGTTTGGATCAACTCTTCTGGCTGTGCCCCCTCCCAGTTTCTTGTGCCCCTGGCAGAGCATGGGAAGCTGAAAAAGTCCTTGACTAGCATAAGCAGTACTCAGCAACAACTAAAAACATCAGCATGTTATCAACATTCTTCTCCTACTAAATCCAAAACACAGCACTATGCCTGCTGCTAGGAAGAAAATTAACTCTATCCCACCCGAAACCAGGACACAAGCCTGTGATTTGCCCTATGCTTAGTCTTGATTAATGACTTGTGTGTAATTAAACTTATCTTAATAACATCACAGGGAAGTCAGTGTGTGCTGCTTACTCGTTTGCCACAAGCTGAAGCAGTAACGAGACTGAACTTTACATTGTGTTTTGCTAGTAGTATCTTTCAGAATTTCTCTCTCATAGATGAGTCTGGGCTTAGTGTTTGATGCATCTTTTTCCATTGGAGAAGGAAAATTTTTATGCATTTTTATCTTTAAAACTGTAAGTACCTTGCAAAATGAGGTAGGATTCCCTTTAGTTCATCTTCCTGGCTGTAGCTTAAGTACTGTAATTCTGATTCTACAACCTTTTTCAGCGAGTGTTCTCCCTTCTTATTCTGGATCTCTTCTGTGTGGTGTGGGTGCTTTCCTGTGATCTATGTTCTCTGCATCTCGAAACATGAGTTCTGAAGACTGTAATTTAGGTCATGATTGTCTGTTGGCATACAGTCATCCAGAGTAAGAGAACCAAATCTTGCCTAGCTGTGGTTGAGTAGGTTTTGTCACTCACATTTCATGAGATGCAACTTATCCATTTGCTCAGGTAAAGTTTATCTGGTTGTCTTGCTACTTTAGTCTGTGGATGATAATTAGGTAGATTGGTGGTTGATTCTCAAGCACATAATAGAGATACTTCATTTTTTTTTTTCAGATGGAAACTGAACCTGTTACTTACAGATCTGTTGGGACTGCTTTTGAACTCCATTATGTGCTGCTCTTCCTGTCTGTCTTAACTGGGGGTGGTTCTTCCCTTCTTATCTACACCAATTATCTGTCAAAGGTTGTCATAATTTCATCTTGGGTAATAGATTAACCTGGTTCTTTTGCCAGGCCACTGAGGCCTGACTGCATACACTGCAAATAAAGCCTACAGAATTACGCCAAACAGAATTAAGTGTTTGGAAAAATCCCTCTTTGCTTTTTTTTCAAATGAAAGATACGAAGCATTGACTGTCTTCTACTGGTTCTTGTATCAGACAATGGCACAAGATTGCTAAGATAAGCTTACTGACTGCTGAAACTCAAGTGACCTTGTTTCTGTTGTTGGAGTTCTCCAGAGCAACTTTCCTTCTATATCCTTACAGAAACAATGGTTGTTAATGCTATATTTGTTAAAAAGGGCTGTTCTTCTGTAGTCACTGCTAAACTATCATTCTGAAGTGTGCTTTCAAATGAGAAGGGTTCTGCTTTAGAGTGAGCCATAGTGGACTGTGCATATTGATCAGCCAGCAGAATTAAGTAGCTTGAAAAGATAAAAGGGCTGAGGAAGTGTGCAGCTTTTTTTTTTTTTTTTTTTTTTAAATGCTGGTGCTGTGCATGTCTAGTAGTAGTACTAGTAAAAGTACTCTGAAGTCTCTGAACTCAGGAAGTGGTGGGTGACTTCCTGGTACCTAAATTGTTTCAAGTGTGTTGTTTACATGATTCATACATAATTCATATTGATTGCTATGTCCAAACACTTAAGACAATTTTTAACTAAGCTGTATAAATAAGTGTATAGAGAGACATGCATACTTATGTGTGTACATATTCTCTTAACACAGCCAGCTGCAGTGTGCATGGTGCATTTCCTAAATGCACTGAACTTTAGAATGCTAGGAAGAAGAAAGAGGTACTTGTGCATATGGTCCCCAGCCCATTCTGAAGCACTTCAGTGGATATAAAATGTTTTTAACTTCCTGTCTCTGCATGCATAGACACTATCAGTGGTCTCCAGCCAGCCTGAGTGTAATTTGAACCAGTGCCTCTGGTTTCTGAGACCAGCTTCAACTTTTGTCAAAGAAGATTTCTCTGCTTCTCTCACAGTCCAACTACTTGATATATTTGAGCCTTTTTGCTGAGATGTTTATAGCTTCCCAGAAACTGAGGCAAGAATTTGTCTTTGTGATTTTTTTGAATCAACACTGGCCGCTTCAGCCAAAAGTCGTTCATCTGTAAACTTGTACTGATGCTGTTAATGTATTAACTGCTATGCTTCTGCTATGCTGCATTAAATTCTTCTCAATACAATGGTGAGATCTAGCTGCTTCAGCAACTGTCACCAGTACTA